TTTGGAAAGAGACTATCCAGGAAAAGTGATAATGTGGTAGTTTTTCCATTTGCTTTCCACATCGCAGTACAACAGCCGTTCAAACCACTCTGGTCACGCCTGTTGCTATACGAACTTGAACCATCTCGAGCATCATTTGCTCTGTGCTTCAAGTCACTGCTGATGTCGCTGCTTCCGGCGTCAGTTTTTGATTTTTGGTGTCTCTCTTCGTCTGATGCATACCCTTTGATCTGTGCAGCAAGGGAGGCCCTGCCAGTAGCTACGCTACCACTGGTATGGCTCTCAGTGTCCTTGGCATATTCAAACCCCCTCACCACGATAAGGTGGAGACACCAAAGAGGGTGACATAGACATTAGGATCAAACAAATTTTTACATAATATTGTAACATGCTGTCTTATGGTCATTGCTACGCAACAGCCACAGTAGGAAGTTAACAGCCTACAATGAGTCTCAATGAGTCTCCACGGTTATGACGAAGACATGGAGCATTCCCACAGAGACAATGCGATAACAGTGGGCCATTGTGTAGGTATTGCAGAATCAACAAAGCAGTGTTTCCCCAGTGATAGACAACAGAAGGTTCACTGTGTAGCCACTGCCGAGGTTATAAAAGCCCATCTTCGACAAGAGACAGTTAGTCTGGAATTAAGCGCCGAAGAAGACAGTCTGGTATTAACCGCTGAAGAAGACAGTCTGGAATTAGCCGCCGAAGGACATAGTCTTCAGAAGGCTGTTGTCGAAAGCAGTATAATATTCGATAAATGATATAATGATACAAACTCCGTCTCAAGTGCAAACAATATATTTTGTGTCTTTGATCTTGCTCCCCTACACTACATGTTTCGGCCTCAGACGGCCATCATCAGGTGTATAACACTCACGTCGCTGTCACACTGCACCCAGCTCAAAATTTAACATTTAAAAACACTTTCCTTGTTATTATCAATTTCTTCTTCGTTGATAACTGTCTGGTTTGTAGATTATTTTATTTTACACACGTTA